CCGGCGGAGGAGGGGCCGGGGCGGAGCGGGCGGCTCGGACACGCCGTGCCCGCCCCCGGGGCGGTGGCACCTGCGGGCAGGGCGGGACCCCCACACCTGCGGGGACTCGGGGGGCGGCTCCCGAACCTCCCGGGGATCCCCGGAACTCCATCCACCCTGCCCCGGGACCCACGCATGGAGAGCGCATCAAGGTGACCACCAGCGGTCTTGATCCCGAACTACCGAATATCCTCATTTTGGGATAAATGCAGCTTGCCTTGGGATCAGCTCTGCTGGAAGGTAAATTTAAAGTGTTTCAGTTTGAGCTAAGAAGTGTTTGAATCAATAGCGGCAGCCTTGCCGTGAGTATTTTTCTAGGGATGCCGCTCCCATTCCTTTGTTTTCGCTGCGCTCTTGCGAAAGGTGGATCTCGGATAATTTGTGCTTTTTTTCATGGAGTTAATTAACTGCTGCAATCCCACATTCCGAACACGAAATTGTAGGGATGCACTTGCAAACAGTCTGCTGTCTAATTGAGTTCATCCTCCAGGCATGAGCTTTATCAAGGAGATCTTGAAGGGCGAATCTTTTTTGACTCATGGAAAGAGCTCTGGCACCCTGCAGTGTTTGCCTTCCTCTCCAGGATTTGTGGGGAATGTTTGGACTTCCCATCTGCTCTCTTTAATATAAACCATCTACCCGGGAAAGCCTCTTCTTCCCGGGTGGAGCCATCCTCATCCTGCAGGAGATTCTCAGAGGGTGAGGAAATGCCTCTTATTTATGCACTGAAACCGAAATGTATCACAATCCAAAATTTATTCATTAATTTTAATAACCGACTTCAAATTTTACTGGACTAATTTCTAAGTGCTGTTTTTATGGTGCAAAACCCACATAATCCTCATTAGGAGTCTACTCAGCAGCAAAAAAAAAAAAAATTAAATTAAAAGAGCAATCCATTCCTACAGAAACTTTGGAGTGCCCAGAACTTGCTTTGCTGAGGAGTAAAGTTATGATTTAATTGAGAAATGCTCAGAGTAATAATTACTGGAAATAAGCTGTTTCTAAAGCTCCCAAATATGACTTTAGGGAAGTGGTAGGGACACACGAACTTCTACTCCATTACATAAAGTGAGTGTAATATTCCTATAAAAATGGAAATACATGCACAAGGGAAGTGGAAGAGTCTCCCTGACATCCTCCAGGCTAATGAAAAAGAAGAAGGAGGAATATATCTGTGGAGAGGTAGTAGAGATGATGAAATTATTTATTAAAAATATTGAAGATTCTGCTCTCTTCATTCCCCAGATTTTTTAATTAGTGTCCCTGGATCTCTGGCAGGTCCAATGCCAGGCTGGATGGGGCTTGGAACAACCTGGGATAGTGGGAGGTGTCCCTGTCCATGGCAGGGGTGGAATGGGATGAGCTTTAAGGTCCCTTCCAACCCAAACCAGTCTGGGATTTTTTAATTTTCTACAGGTTTAGAAGGAAAGATGAAATCCAGAGAATGGACTAAGGCCGCTCTGGAGTGTGGTTCCACTGAATGGGTCACTCATGGAATCAGGGAATATCCTGGAGCCACAGGATCAGGGATCCAGCTCCTGGCCCTGCACCCCCAAACCCCTCCCTGGGCATCCCTGGAGCGATGTCCAAGCTCTCCTGGAGCTCTCCTGGAGCTCTGGCAGCCTCAGGCCCATTCCCTGGGGAGCCTGGGCAGTGCCAGCACCCTCTGGGGGAAGGGCCTTGCTCTGGTGCCCACCCAAAGCCTGGCCCAGCTCCATCCAGGCATTCCCTGGGTGCTGTCCCTGTCCTGTGTCACACCAGGCCCACACGGCAGAGTTCAGTTCAGTTTTATTTTCCACTGTAACGGATTTCGAATGATACATCATGCAGTCTGCCAGTGTATCCATCCATCTCCGACAGAACTTCAGCACGAAGATAAAAGACTTCTCTCCACAGGCTGGGGGGGAGGAGGAGGGTTCAGGTCTGCTATCAAGAGTTTAATACAGTTCAGCATCATTTGATGCAATGGCAAAAAAAAAAATTTCCCCTTGTTACCAGCAAAACGTGTCCACCATTTATTTCTCTTTTTTTTTTTTTTTTTTTTTTTTTTTTTTTTTTTTTTTTTGTTTTTCTTTTTTTTTTTCTCCTAAATTGAACACTACTGTAAAGATACATAGAGCCCAGAGAATACACATCTGCAGTACACGTTACACACTTTACAAACTAGACAGGGATAAATCTACAGGATGCCTCAGCCCCGTGGCTCCCCCACAGCCAGCGGGGCGGCGGTGGAGCGGTGCTGCCATCCCGCACAGCGGATGGTGCCGGTGCACGGCGCGGTTCCTACAGGCACAGTGAGGACAAAAGTCAAAGCAAGGGGAGATTCAGATTATCCTGCCCATTTTTTATTCCCCCACTCTGTGGAGGAGTACTTCAGTCATGGTTATGTGAGGTATTTCTCCTCCAGCAATGGGGATCGGATGAGCCCTTTTCTTTTTGGACCTTCATCGCTGTTGTTTTAATAATCCTTCAGATAAAACTGTGTTCAAATGAAAATTCTTGATTTTGTTCATTTTCAAGCCTTAGGGCAGGGTTAGATGGGATATTGGGAAGGAATCCTGTGAGGGTGGGCAGGCCCCTGGCACAGGGGGTCCAGAGAAGCTGGGGCTGCCCCTGGATCCCTGGAATATCCAAGGCCAGGTTGGACACTGGGGCATGGAGCAGCCTGGGATAGTGGAAGGAGGAATCAGCTGATCTTTATAATCCCTTCCAACCAAACCACTCCATGATCCTACGATTTATAAAGATTTCAAGCAAAAGTGCATCTCAGTCCGTTAGGCTTTATAAAGTGAAATTTTGAAGCTACTCAAGGCTCTGCGGGCAGGAATTGTTGTAGCAAAATTTTTTTTGGTGACTTATTTTTAAGTGTTCAGTATCTTCAGGATAATCCAACTCTCACCCTTGTTGAGTTTAATACAAAACTTAAAAATGCATCAGCCAAGATCTTTCCAAGCTTAAAACTTTCCTTGCTTTCCAGAAAACAAGTCGATGAAACGTGAACTCAAGGACAAACACAAGATATTTGAACATATCATTAAGAGAAGCTCAAGTGAGCCAGAAATACTTTTTAATTACTAGCAAAAAAGAACAATATGCACTTTAGTTCCATCTGAAATCCGTTTTCCATTCAGGAATGGTATTTCCACCCCAATTTTTCCCATGCATGACATTTTTAGATGTGAAATTTCACTTGCGCTGTACAAACCACAACTTTAAAAATGAGCCTGGAATAAATAGAACACAACACTCAAAGAGCAAAGAAAGGAAGATAGGGTCGGGAAACAGCAAGAGACAGGCTCTGATCTCTGCAGAGCAGATGTGTGGTTTTCCTTTCCAGATATAAAATGTGAAAGCCTTAAAAATGGTACAAAAGTTGAATATACAACACGCGATACAAACTGAAGTCGCCTAATTAAAATAGGCTTCAAAAATAAAAATTGATACAAGCAGAGTATGTTCAACTGAGAATTCATCATTTCCAATTATTGAATCTCTCAGGTGTTTAATTTTGAGGATTTTAGCCTAAGGCATCTTTGGGGCATTGCTGGAAGTCCTCCTGCAGCCTTGGAGTAAAAGGGAACTCGGAGAAACTTCCTCCTTTTGCTGCTGGTGGCACTGACTGGCTGATCAGCACCAGCATGAGGAAGAGATGTCCGAGTTGACTTCTCCCCCAAGCTGCAGGGAGCTGGCAGAGCTGTCCCCAAAAAAATTCCTGGTGATGCCTTGAGGAATCCAGACCTTTTTTTGGTGTCTGCATTTACAATAGAGTTCTGTTCCGAACTCTGAGAGACACAACACAAAGTTTGCCTACAGTACAAAAATCTTCGACAACAAATAAGCTTGGGATCTTTTCCTAGAACCAAAACAAGAGGATTATTAATTCCTAGTAGAAACCTCAGCTCTGACCAGCTGGTAAGATAGCACAGAGTAGTTCTGAGTTAGTGATTTTATTAAAGATTGCATATGGCAAGTTCACAGTTCATTCTTCTGGCAGTGCACATGCACGTAACGAAAGAAAATATAAAACTTTGGAAAATACAAAATAAATTAAATACATGCAAATCTGCAACTTCATTAAATATGTTTAGCAAAATGCTCCCCCAAAATAGTGCAACATTAAAAAAAAAAAAACAACAAAAAATCAAAAAACAAAACCAGTTAAATTAAGTTCAACTTACTTTGCAACACCCTAATTTCAGTAGAAAAAAAATATCTAAAGTCAACTCACAATCTTCCAAAACTCTCTATGGAACTGAAGAGTTCTACACCTACACACTCAGAAATTTAAAAAAAAAAATAAAAAATCCCAATCAATCTCAAATTAAAGAAGAGCAAACTTCTGCAAAAGAAGACCAGAGGGCTATGGAGCCTTCCTGGAATTCCAGCTTCCTGGAGCCTTCCTGGAATCCCGGCTTCCTGGAGTCCCACCTGCCCCAGGAGATGCGGAGGGAGGGAGGGAGGAAGAGGAGGAGGAGCAGCACCTTCTGCCTGCCAGCAGAACCTTCTCAGAGCAATTCCAGTGCCCCCTTGCTGGGAAGATGGAAATTTGCTGTCTGAGAGATCCAAGGAAGGCTTTTCCTTCCCTCTGGAGCACAAAGCAGACCTTCCATAGGATGAGTGGATATAGTGGCTTAGAAAGACATTCCCTTCCCCTGGCAATGTGCTCCTCACATCCCAGCAAAAAAAATCCCGGATTTTGCCTGCAAAGGACAGCTCGAGTGTACAACTCTCACCTCCTTTTGGATTTTTTTAAGGAAGGGTTTGGGGGATTTTATTTTCCTTTGTTCTGGTAGGGGACTGTTCCCTCCAGGATCTGAATTCCGGTGTGAACAGATCAGGGCTTGTCTGGGGAAAGGGGGAGGGGGGGAGATTCTTGTCAGATTTTCCAAGGCGAGATTTCCACAGCATTCTGAAATCCTTCAAAAATTCTTAGGGAACAACTCTTACAAACGTGTGGCTAAGCCATCCCACTCCAGGAAAACCCACCACTGTAGGGAGAACTACACGGAAATAGGAGCTTAATTTTAAAACAGGTCACACAGATAAATTCATGGAACTACCAAACTTCAAATCCTAGGTCTATACTAACAGATTTCTCTGCATCCCATTTGTTCTTTACCAGGTACTGCAATAAAGGTTATTTTATACAGTCCAAAGATATTTTTTTTTTCTTTTTTTTTTTTAAATCAGGATATTACAAATGGTTCTTTGGGGAAATTTCCTTCTGAAAATGTTAAGCAGTAAAATTAAACCACATAGCAGCACATTTTCATCCCCTAAAAATATAAAATAATATGTATATTATACAGGAAATCAGTCATGACAGAGCACAATCACCTGCCTTTGATGGCACTTGGTCATTGAATAATTAATTCCTTGATGCCAGAAGTCGGGAATTACCGATGCCAACGGAGGACTCGGAAAAGAAACAAAGCATCGCTCTGAGTGGAGAAGCCCCAACCTAAGCAGCGCCAAGGGGTCGTGGAATTCGGAGTGGCAGACTCCCTATCATCCTTACTGAGGTGGGAATGTTCCAGACATTGTACAAGGATCTGGAGGAGCTGAGCTGGACACTTCTGTACACGTGGAGATCCTACGAAGCTCGGAGTACCTGGAGCGGGGCATCGCCGACGGCCGTGGGAAGCGCAGGGTGGACAGGACGTGGACCGGGTTGGAGAGGGGCAAAAAAGAAACTAATGTGACTTAATGACAGTCCTTAACATGCTAAGTGGAACTGACCTGCCAGAGAGAGCGAGAAAGGGAAGGAAAATCAGTGGATTTCGGGGATTAGAAAGCAGAGCACCCAAATGGGATGGGCGGCAACCAAAGAGATGAATCCGCAGTCACGTTAAAAAAACTACAGAATTTGGGTCTCACAAAATGAGCCAGTTGTCCTGATGGAGAAGCCTGGAATTATGTCTCACCCAAACACTATCTAAAGGTCTGAATTTATTTCTTTCCCCCCCCCCTTTAATTTTCTGTTCCTTTAATGGGGTTTTTCTCTTGGCTCATTGGATGTGCTGAAGAGCTGGTGTGTGTTTATCTCATGTAATAAGGGGGGAAAGTAACAGCAAGGGAGTTTGAAAATTATAAAATCAAAAGGATGAAAAAATACAAATTCAAGCCAATCCTTCTGTTCTCTGTCTCCTGACAGAGATTTTTCCTGATATATACACACATATATAAAATATTTTGAGAACTATCTAAAATATTTTATATATAATATCATGATAATATTATACAAATATACTGTATACTTTTTTATATGCAAATTAGACAAGCACATTTTATTAAAAGCCACATTTCTTTCTCTTCCATCTGCTGGGTCCATCAATCATAACCACTGACCAGTCTAACAGCACTGTCTTTTATCTTTATGGTGAATAATGAATGAATACAAGATAAATCTCCCCTCAGCAAATGTTGAAATAGGAACCTCAGTTTTATTTCTCTGCTGTTAAATGAATATAAAAGAAAGTTTTGTTCTAGTTACAGCTGGGTAGAACTGTACCACTCCAAAGAACTTTCTGCAGAGCACAGGGATGTCTCATCAATAATCAGGAAATGATCTGGATGAAGTTTTCCCTGCACTGGTAGCACTTTTACTAACACTCTTACTCAGACCCCTGCGTTTCCATCCAAGCTCAGAATTCAGATTATTCAGATATTCCCAATTTTGGCAGCCAAATAGTTGGAATTTGCCAATAAAATTCTTGCCAAAAGGACCAAAACTGAGGAGAACTGACCTTCTCCAATCACTTCCCAGCCTTCCCAGACTACACCTTCCACACTTACTTCTGGATGTGAGCAAAAAATCTAGAACACATGGTGGAAATGGTTTCATTCCAACCTGTAGGTCTGCCATTTGATTTTCAGATTTTTCCTATTTTTTCCCAGAAACTCCAAGTCTGTAACTTTATTCAGTTTCTCCTGAAATATTCCATCTTTTTCTCCAGACTCATTTTCCCTGGGACTCTTCTGCAACATGGCCTGAACCTGCTCATCTCCAAAGCCCTCAAATCTAAACCTCAGCATCTGAAATATCTGGTGGGAACTTTATGGCTCCTGATTGCTTTTTCTTGCCTTTCAGTGTCCTTTCTTGTTATTACAGAACCATCTAGTTTGAATGTTTTATTATTAACTTTTATTTATCTATAGTTGTTCACTTGACACGTGTGGCCTACTGGAGTCTCTGGAGTCTGACTTTTCACTTCACTGCAGTTGGTAAATTAAAGGTGCGTGAATTTGAGGCAGGTGGCAGCTTTTTCCCCTCAGAGTAGCTGTTACAAGAAATGTTTAGAAATCTTTGACAAGGCTCTGTACTCCACTCTTTGCCAGGTCACAGAGGTGGGAATGCAGTGAAGCAGATGGACAGAGGCACCTCACTCGTGAGGTGGAAAAGCCAATTTCAGACCAGAATGGACAAAACCACTCAGCAAAGCCCTGCCCTAATTTACCCACAGAGGAAATATTTGTTGCTGGAAGCTCATGGCAAACACAATGAGCAGGAACAATCCCCCAGCACAATAACAGCTTGAGTGTGGCGTGATGGATGCTTGGCATGCAAGCCTGACATGAAACATTCCCCAAAAAAAGCTAAAAACACCCAAGAATGCCTTGAGGAGACCACAGACCATGAAGAGAGTCGTGAGACAGAATTAATCCTCAAGGAGGGCAAAAAGCCAGACTTGGAGGGACAAGTTTGCTGTCCCCAGACTGCTTTTCACAGCCACTCGCTGCCATCCAGCTCTTGGCATATCTGTGACATAAAGTGATCATCTAAAATAATTGAGATATAAAATCTCGTCAATAACGAGCATTTAAAGAAAGAAACGGGAGGATGGAGTCCATGGAACAGTCTCCTGGGAATATGCTGCTCATCTTTTGCTTAGGAGAAACCCTCAAGCCTTGGCAATTAAAATATTTAGGTTTTCTTTTTTCATGAAGAGAGCTATAAGTGCAAAGTGTGCCAAATGGTGACACTTAAATTTGGAGATGTCTCTTGCTGCCACTGACAGCTGCTCTACCCCTATCCCAGGCTGGAATACCCCAACATGGAAACACATCCATGGTACAGAGAACCTATGGAACTGTATTTTTACTACATGAGTTCCATATCCCTACGTGTGAATTTCGGTCCAGATTTACCAGAGCAGGTTTTAAAAAACTTTTAAGTGCCAAGTCATTAAAATAAAACCTCTCCTCAGCAGCTGGCAAAGCCTCTTAACAAGCACTCAATTAATGAGTATTGTAAATATCAGCAAACAACTACTAAAAATAGGAAAAAACCTTACTGTGAGTCTCGTAAAAGCAAGATGAAATGTAAGGGAATTGAGGGAGAAGAGGTGAGTAAGTTACTCTGGCCTTACCTCTCGTTTATTTGGTGTTGTGGTAGTAGCTGGAGTTGGACATCCCTCCCCCTCGGATGGCGTGGACGGCCGTCGGAGAAGACGCTGGGTAGTGACCAGGGCGGATGGGCTTGGCTGCACAGGGAAAGGAGGGATCCAACAAGACATTTCAGCTTTCACATTTCAGCTTTCACATTTCAGCTTTCCACCTCCCCTTCTCCTCCAAGGGAAACCCCACTGTTTCCCAACTCAGAGCTGTGCTTGGCAGTGTGGTTTCTAATCCAGCTGTGCAGATCACAGCACTCCCTGCCTTGGCCAACAACAAATACACCAATTTTCCTGCTGCCAGATCCTTCTTCCTGCTGGCAGATCCATTTTCCTGCTGGCAGAGCCCTTCCACCTTCCCATGTATTGGATCTGCAAAGATTACAGACTGTCTAGCAACAGAGGGAAGTCGCTTGGTGGGCAGTGAGGTACTTTTTATGTCAGATTTATACCATTCCAGATGATGTCAAGACAAAGCTTGGATGGCTCCCTACAAGAGGAAGCATTCAGGAGGTGACACTTTGTGCTGCATGATTCTCCCTCAGGATTTCATGCCCCAATATTGTCATCTCCAGCTAAACCATTATCTTTCAGCAATCCCAACAAATTGTTCCAAGAATTGCCCTGTTCCTCTGTTGTATGCAGGCATTACATTGTGCCTCGGAGATATATCAATGTCTGAATTACAAAGGAAGATTTTTTTTTTTGGAGTTTAATCACATAGAGGAGTAATCAGGAGAAAGAAAGAGAAAGGGACAAGGTCCAGAAAGGCAGGGAAAGAATAAAAGCAGAGAGAGGCGTGTGGGGGGAGGAGGAGGAAGAAAGTGAGCGACTAATTTAAGGAGACAAGTTTTCAGGTCACTAGAAGGGCACACAAGACCCATTATGCCCTTTATTTACCCAGCAGAACAGCAGAGCCTCTTTAAACCCGAGGTGGGGCAGATTCCATGAAAAAGCGAGGCCTTTGAAGATTCCTGCGCAGCACACGAGAAGCAGCCCCTGTGTTTTACTCCCTCCACTCAACCCCAGCCACCAGCCTGAGCCTGAAGCACGTGGGCAGCCCCTTTAGCTCCATGTCCTCACCAATTTGGGCGGAGTGTGCTCTCCGGGCCATGTTTTTGGCTCTCACGGCCTCCTTAATGCGATCCACCTCCTGCTGGTAGCGCTTGCGGTCGCGCATGGCGTTTTCCTTGGCCTCCTTCAGTGCACTCTCCAGGGCCTTAACTCTCTCTGCCGTAGCTCGAAGGCGTTTCTCCAGCTTAGGAAGCTCGCAACGAAGATCTGCATTATCACGTACCAGCTGCGGGGAAAGCGGTTCAAAAGAAAAGGAGGTGAAAAGAGAGCGGCAAAAATCCCCCTCAGAGAAATGGCGGGAAAAGTCGCCTCATGAGGAGGGAGGAAACACCACCGGTTGCTCTCTATGCCTTGTGTACTTAAATTAAATGTGTTTCTTCCAGAAATTTACGTAAAAATGATAGTTTAAAGAGAAATTTAGAATGTCCTGAGCTAGAATGAACCCACAAGATCAAAGAAAGTGGCAAAAATCCCCCTCAGAGAAATGGAGGGAAAAGTCACCTCACTAAGAGAGAGAAAACACCACCATGCTCTCCGTTTTCCATGTACTAAAAATAAACAGGTTTCTTCCAGAAACTTATGTAAAAATCTTACTTTAACAAGAAATTTAGAATGTCCTGAGCTAGAATGGACCCACAAGATCAAAAGAAAATGGCAAAAATCCCCCTCAGAGAAATGGCAGGAAAGTTGCCTCATGAAGAGGGAGGAAACGCCACCGGTTGCTGTCCATGCCTCATGTACTAATATTAAACAGGTTTCTTCCAGAAACTGATGCAAAAATCTTAGTTTAATGAGAAATTTAGAATGTCCTGAGCTAGAATGGACCCACAGGGTCAAAAGAAAATGGCAAAAATCTCCCAGAGAAATGGCAGGAAAAATTGTCTCTCACAAGGAGACAGAAAATGCCACCATGCTCTCCATTTGTCACGTACTAAAAATAAACAGATTTCTTCCAGAAATTAACATGAAAAGCTTGGGTGAAAGAGAAATTTTTCTCTTTCACCCAAGAAAGAGAATGTCCTGAGCTGGAATGAACTCACAAGGATCAAGTCTAGCTCCTAACCCCACACAGGGCAGCCCAACAATCCCACCCTGTGCCTGAGAGTGTCATCCAAGATCAGTTTTACTCACAAAATTCACTTGTCTGGGTGAGGAGTGATATTCATTTAAATTGCCCAGAAAGATCAAAGAAAAATAGAGTTTATTCCATTCAACAAGATTCCGCAGAGCTGATCCTGAAAGATGAGGACGCCAGGATCAACTCTGCTACTGCAGAGCACTTGACAGCCAAATTTGCTTCTCTGCACTTGAAAAACTGCAGCAGAAGCTTTACATTTCCTCAGAACACAGAAATTTTGCAAATCCTTGATTACCTCATAGTTTTAAAATAATAATGCTTGAATATATCTTACAGACAACACCGAGGATCACCCCAAATTCATAATTTCCGGTGGTTCTGATGTGTTCCCCTGTACATTCCCTACTCAGCCATGTGGAAAAGCTGGAAATTCACTAAGAAATCACTTTTAGGCCTGTAACTGTAATAATAATTGTTATATTGTCTGTAATTATAATGCATATAATGATTATATGCAACTCTGAATTCATGCACTGCCTCATTTTAAAATGAACCTGAGCGAGGTTTATCAATTATACAAATCAAAACTGACTTCCCATGCAGCAACAGCCAAGAGAGGATTGATTTTTAATAAAAACAAAACTGATGCAAAGAGGCAGAAAATCCAGCACAATTTCTACTAAACAGATTACACCACTGCTGGGAGTCAACAGAAATCTGCTCCAAAGGAGTGACTCTCCCTTTTCTGGAGCAAAAAGTGGATTAACAACCACATTAATAATACAGGAAAGCAACAGCATGTCCTGGCATTCACACGTTGTTTAACAATCAGAACATTTTACACCTGCTGGGCAAGGCTTAGTGCTGGAGAAAAACACAAACAAACTAAAAAAAACATTGCCACAATGTTCTTTTTCTGCAAGTGCTGAACTCTTGTTGTGTGAAATAGTTTTGATAAAAAATCCAAGCAGGGTGGTATCAAGTCCAATGTCACTTTTCCCTCTAAGTTCCCTACAAGATGTGGATTCCAAGCTGATTTTGAGTAAATACACGCTAATGAGAGCTATAAAAATCCACATTTGAAACCCAGCAGATGCGTGAAGCGAGTGCAAAAAAAAGGCAAAATGCTAAAAGAAAAACCACTCTGAACATGTCCCAGTTTCCACATTTAGAAAGTAGGCCTTTAAACCATCTGTTCCCTGGAAATCTCAAAACCCCAAACCTTAGCGGACACTTCTCACAGTCCAGCACTTCCTGCTCTTTTGGCACTTCCACAGGAATAATTAAAGCAAATCCGGGAGTGTGGGTCACTAATACAGCTTCGGGAGAGTGCAGTGCACAATGTTCTATCACTGCCCAAAAAAGAAATCAAAACAGCTTTAGTGTTTTGTGTTGGGCACCTGAACAGTGGGACACAGCTCCAATATACTGGGAGAGGGGATTTTAGGGAGAAATTCTTCCCTGTGAGGGTGGGGAGGCCCCAGGTTCCCTGGAAGTGTCCAAGGCCAGGTTGGATGGGGTCTGGGATAGTGGAAGGTGCCCCTGCCCATGGCAGGGATAGGACTTGATGGGCTTGGATTCCAGATCTGGGATTGTATGAAACTGGAATTCCAGGAAGGAGGGAGGACACAGAAATGGACAAGCTCAGAAATGACCAACATCAGCACCCCAGGGAGGCACCATCCCTTCAGCTGCACAGAAAACCCCAATTTTCATTGAAAACTCTGCTGGTGGAATCCACTCCAATCACCTCCAAGGTGCCTCTGAGCAGCTTCAGGCCAGGACACAAACTGGGGATGCACAATCCACCCAGAAAACAGCTATTTTTATGTATTTCCTAGTGCCAAACCAGATCTATTTTCACAGAATAAACAATGTCCGTATTTACCACATTCGTAGAAATACAGAGAGTGGGAAGAGCAGCTCTAACTCCTAACACCAAGGAGTTTAGTGGGTACTTTTTCTTCAGATAGCACGGGTTACTCCCAAAATTATCCTTGCAAACATTAAAATACTGCATTTTTTGATGGAGGGATGGAAGGAGGGATGGAAGGAGAAAAAGGAAGCCTTTACCTGTTTGTGAACCTTTGTAAGCTGTTCCAGGTTGTTCTCAAGAAAGGAAATTTTCTGCTTCTGCGCAGCGCTTCCACCTCCATCATCACTGTCCAGTTCAACACTCTGCACACAGAATCAGCAAAGCCAGCACTCAGCAAAGCCAGGCTCAAGGGGAAGCTCAGCTCTTTGGCAAATTTGAGCTCCCCAAAGGCAGAAAAGTCTTACAGAGCCTCAGATTTAAGAGAAATTATTTTAATTCTTTGTTTGATATTTAGGAATCACATTTCCTCTTACACAAAAAGACCAAGCTATTTTTACTGAAGAATTATGGGGAAATCCTGGATAGGAAAATCATATTATACTAAATAATTTCTGAAGCTCATCGTCTTTGAGAACTTTGTAGCTGAACTGCACTGGATAAGTTCATTTCCCTCAACCACCAACATCTTCCTTATCAAATTAGGACCAAATAAAAGCTGATAAACATCAGAACAGTTTTAATCTTGTTTCTCACTGCTACTAAAAAATACATTATCCCATTTTGTAACTGCATGCAGTAAAGGCTTCCAGCAAATCACAAGATTACTGCAAAAAAAGGAGAAGATTTGGACTTGAAAGAGCCAAGTTTTACTTTTTTAACACGGGTGGTAAGATCCTGGACAAATAGTTTGCGCAGATTGTGAAGAGTCTGAAGCTCCCTTGCCTGGAATAAAAATAACAAAACAATTTTTTAAAAAGTACAAATTACTAGGACATAGTAGATGCTCTGGTGTAAAAGTTCTCCTTGGATCTGAGTCGGTAACAGGAGAAAAGAGCTCTGGATTCTCTCTCTAGGAATCTCATTGGCCCACTTTGAATGCCACAAAATAAACCTCATCCAGCCCCAAAACCACACTGAAAATAACAATTTCTCCAAAACTGGTAAAAACAACCTTTCTTAATTTTCATTTAGGTAATACTAAGCTTTTTACTCAAAAATTAAAATATATACCAGCAGGGGATACAGCTATAGGGGGGAAAGTTGAATAAAGTGTAATTAAGACCTACCACTGTTTCTTCCAGCCCTTTAAGGTCTTCTCTTGCTTGTTCCCTTTTATCATTAAGGAGTCTGGAAAGGTGACAACATGGAACATAAATCAGTCATCATAAACAGAGGAGAATCAGCCAGCATCCACCTGGAGCAGCACATCTGCAGGTGGCAGCAAATTGTACATCTCTAATTCATCTTTAATTATGCTTTTGACTGCCACAAATATCCAATTTTATCACGTGCAAGGGCCGAGGCACCACCTCCATCTTTGTGCCCACACATGGGATTTTTCTCTCTCATTTCCAGGAAAGGCTTTTACTCAGGCATCTGATTTAAAACCCCCAAAAATCAACAAAACCCCACCAAAAATTCCCAACTTCTTTCATGCTTGTTTTGCTGTGTAATACGGAATGAGAGATTTAACACTTTCAGAGCTCTAATAAACTTGATTTGGCAATTACCAAAACCACTATTGAAAAGCCTGTGGTATAAAAATAGAGAATAATTGGTAATTATTTATTAGTAGTTCCTGCAGTGTGAAATGGTATTTTCAGTGTGAATATTCCAGCACAAATCCCCCTCCCTAGCACATTTTCCATGGACAGATGAAGAGGTTCAGGGATACCAAGTGAGGAAACTGAGCACTTACATGAGCTTTTCCAGTTTCATTTCTCTTTCCTGGTCCTCGATTTTTAATTTATCATAATCAGCACTCAGCTTCTCCTGTTCCAGCTGCAGCTTCTGGTTCATGCTGGAAAGGTGAAAGGAAAGATCAGCACAGTTCAGCCTGAACCCCAGGAGGGAGGGAGGGTCAATCTCCACAAATAAAATGGGATTGGGTAGAGAAAAAGTAAAGCAGAATTTTAAAATATTGGAGAGCTAAATTCAGTGGTTTGTTTTGTTTGCCTTAAAGGAGGACACAAATTGTTGTTGGCATCTTTCTGCCTTGCTTCCTCATTTCCCTACAATTAATCTTTGGCCACACAATAAATATGATAAAAGAATGCCTAGATTTTAGAAAAATAAGAATACAGGAGCAAAACAACAGAGTCACATTGGTGTGTGAGGAAAAAATATAAAAACATGTGAAAATGGGAGCTGTTGGAGTCACCCAGACTCTCAGAGGGTCTGGGGCAGGACTGGCTGCTGTGAGAGCCTCAAAACCTTCCTGGGGATGTGTTTCAGTGGTGGCTGAACTCCATGTTCGTGAAAAAGGCATTTTCCAATACAAATGATCCCATGATCCTTTAAAACCCGCTCTCCTCCAAGCTCCTCTCACCTACTGACCTGCAGGTGCAACATTACCCTTTTTTAAAAAACTCTCCATAATTTTACAGTCTTGTTAAAGCTCCCCAATAAAGAATTAGACACTGTAATCCACCCTGCAAAATAATTACAGGGTTGGCTGCTGCGTGTAAGGACAGAACTCCCAGAGAAATATCAATCAAATCTAACAGAACCAACCCCAAACCAGGAGAGAGGGAGGGATGGAGAGGGTGAACTTACTCCCTGATTTCATCGATTATTTTCTGCTTCTCTTCGATTTCATCCCTCAGCCTGGACAGCTGCTTCTGGTGGGCTTCCCTGTGACTCTCCATCTGCTGCTCCAGAGCCTTCTGCAAACAGCAGAGCCAGGAATTAGAACAATCCAGGGACACACGGCTCCCTCTCACCCAGCCTCTAGATTTGAGGGGAAACTACCAAATCCATTCAGGAATCTGCCTGCCATTTCCTTCTGTAATCACAAAGCTCTGTGCCTACTCATCCAAGCACTTCATTCAGACTTTAGCAACAGATGTATAATTTTGACTCATTTTCTTGCAAAAAGTACCACATGAAAAGGCAGGGCTGGGCCAGAAATGACACTGATTTCACACCACTCTTCTCTTATTTGCCCTGCTTATTCTCCCAGGAAATACTGGTACAGCTCTACCTGTGGCAGAAATAAATCCCAAACTTCTGAGAACTGTTTATCCACAGCCCTGCTATTGAAATTGTTATTTAAATTTAAATTCTAGGAGTAAATATGCCTCAAGCAACAAGAAAAAATTTATTTCTTTAGACTGCTAACAAAAACTTTGCTTTTTTCCTCAGAGCTGTAAGGTACAACCACATTAATCACAACTCCTTTTATCACTTTACAACTGCTTTAATCGCTTAACATTTTTATAATGGAGGGAAAAGTTCTGGAGCTGGCAAACCTCTATCACTATCCTTGTAAAACTGTATTTTTCCTTGTCTGCAATTTGCAACCCCATCAGAACAACTCATTACTGCAAACATTTCTTGGCATTCCAAAGGAAAAATACCAGAAAACAGGTTTATCTATTTTATTATTATTTCCAGGAGATAATCAGCCAAACTTTGAGGAAGTAGCCTCTTTTAAAATCAAATTTTTAAGTACCTAAATGATATTAAACCCAGCAGCCTCATTCACCACTGAGCAAATTGACTTCCAGCAGAGCTCCAGCAGTAAAAAATTAGTGTAACACAGAGGTGGATCAATGTAATTTTTGGCCATGTGAACAGGAAGACAAAATTCCACCCCAATGAACAATCTCCCCAAGAAATTCCCTCTGCATTTCCACTGTGCCAAGCTACCTTCATCTCCTCTGCATCCTGCAGTCGTGTCAGATGCTCCTTCTCCTTGTCCTTGAAGCTGACCTCGTGCATTTTTTCTGTTGAAAGGTGGAGGAGACAGTTTTAATTTCAAATGTAAATTTTAGAATTTTAAAATAAATTTTAATTTATTCCAAGAGATAAAAATAAAGATTCTGTTCTAACAATGCAGGAAATAATGAAGAAAGTTTAAACAAACAAAAAAAATTGTTCCCACCTCAGAGAGGGAAATTTCCTTGTGCAGAAATCCAGAATGATTTTAAGGCTGCAGGGTTATAAATTTACACAACCCAGGAGCTTAGCAAAGCCACAAGAACTTCTTTTGATACCTACACATTTTCCACATTAAACTGGAAGGGAAAAATCAAGCAAACCTTAAAAAATTAAGTCAGCTGGGAAAGACACAACTTGTGCACAACTAAGGGAAGCAGCTTTGTTTGGAATGGGGCAGGGATTGTGCAGAGGGACGACTGAAATTTAGATAAATCCTTATCCCAGAATTTTACAGAATATTTATCAAGACTGATTGGTGCTGTTTGGTAAAGGATCTGTGTGGGGGTTTTTACAATTTTTCACATCATTAAAACCCAAAACTGAGTTTTCTAAGGCAGAGATGACGAGCACGAGACCCAAAGTCGTACCTTGAGCGCGTAACTTGGCCAGCTCCTCGTTGAGGGAGTCCTGGGACTCCTCCAGCTGCCTCCTCTTCTGCTCCATGTTCTGCATGTAGTCTGTCAGGGATTTGATCTTTGCCTCGTGCTTTAAAGACAAGGAAATAGCCGTGAGATGGGAACAGCCGCGTCCCAGGAATTCGGGGGAAACCGTCCCACACGAAGGAGGAAAAACGGGAAGATTTCCACATCCAGAGGTGATGACTCAGAGAACTCACAGCAAAATGTCTGGGCAGGAGCTACGAGATCAAAGCAGGCTGTGTTTTTAGAGGCCACACTTGGTAGCCCAATCTGGAATTCAGGCAGTAATCCCAAAACATCCCTGGAAGCTCCTGACTCGGTGTTAAACCAACAGCAGCAGCTTTTTAAAAGCAGCTGGACACCAGCCCTGAGGGGGCTTTGGGATCTTCAAGGTGCAGAAGCTCACATGGACTCTCCACAGCCATCCTGATGGTTTGGTGCTTGCCAACAACCTTCTGAACTAGAAGGGCTCGTGGGTAAATAGAAAACAGCGGAGATTGTAGTGAAAAGCACTCAGTGGAATTAAAATATTTTAATTTGAAGATAAAAATTATGATAGTTTGGATTATTGCATCTTAATTAAAAAGACTGAGTAGAACGTAACAATGACACTCTGCTGAAGGAAAAGGGGCTCTTCCTTGTTCCAGGTTTGCTTGGGATGACTGCTAGGGAATGAAACAGAGGGGATTGGATCAGGTCTTTCCCTTCCCAGTTCCATGCAGGTGAGGTCAGAGCTCCCAGCCCCACTCCACAGCCATCACTGCCTGTCCCTGCCACATGCTCAGAACCCCTCCTACCCCCTGGATTTCTATCCCAGAAAGTTTTCCATGATGTTTTGTAGCTTGCTGCCTCGTTTTCTCAGCAGCACACCCACAGAGCAGATGCAGGGAGCTCCCCAAAGGTTTGGCTTGTGAAAAACACGGTCAGCACGGTGATCCAAGATACAAATTACAGCATCACAGAATCAACCAGCTTGGGAAAGACCTTTGAGATCCACAAATTCCTGGTGAGGGAACCACTCCAGGGAGGAATTTCAGTGCTATTCCACCACACACACTGTGAGACCTCCAGCAGGACCTTGCCAGAGCTCAGGACACAACAAAACGCTGAGGGGGAGGAATGAGAGGAGAGCAAACAGAACACCCAAGAGACAGCAGCACTCCGCTACATCAGGCCCATTTCTCACTCCTGCCACACACATTCCGTGGGGAAGGAGGCTGGGAAGGCCACCAAAGCCTGGGAGAAGGCAGGAGCAGACCCACCTGGGAGATGAGGAGCTGGCAGGCCGCGAGCTCCCTCTCACTGGCGTTCATCTTCCTGTTGGAGTCCATCTGGGCGCTCTCCAGCTGCTTGCTCCGGTTCACCAGCGACTTCACCTCCGACTTCATCTTGCTGATGTAGAGCCTGGCCATGGTGAACTCCTCCTCGATCACCCCGTTCACATCTGCCAACTGAGCACACGGGGATCGCCAGCTGCTCCCAGCACCCAGAGCTCCTCCTGCGCCGGGAACCCGGCGGGACCTTGGGCTGGGATTTGGGGTGGTTTTACAGACCAGGGGACATTTTAGAAAGAGAGTTTGGAGAAGGGGAGAAGAGTGTGAATTATTTCTGAAAACTTAAAGCTTGGAGTTTAATAGTAAACTAAAATATTTAGAGGACAAAAAAAAAAAAATCTGAATTGGGATCTTTTCACAAAGCAAAGAGCGCTTGTTACATTAAGGAGAAAACTTCCTTCAGAATTTTTGGTTTGATTTGTCCTTTTATCTTGAATGTTTTATTTATCTTGTATTTTTCACATTTGTGTGCAAGGATATCATACAGGGATATCATATCCAGGTGTTAGGCTGGAGATCAGGGAAAGGTTCTTCCCCCAGAGGGTGCTGACACTGCCCAGGCTCTCCCAGGGAATGAGCACATTCCCAAGGCTGCCAGAGCTCCAGGAGTGTTTGAACAACACTCCCAGGGATGCCCAGGGTAGGATTTTGGGGTGTCTGTGCAGAGCCAGAAGATGGATCCATGATCCCATGGATCCCTTCCAGCTCAGCAGATTCCACTGAGGAGCTGTGCTGGTTCTCTCTGAGCAAAATCACAGCTCAACTTCATCTGCTTCCCCTTTTCTTACAGCACTGCCAAGGGGAAGGGAACATGTGCTGCTTCTTCTCCCAAAAATCCTGAAAAATGAGACTTCTTCCAAAAATTTTCAGTCTGCTCTGAGAGTAGACACACTTGGAAAAGACGCTAATTGCCAGCAAATTGGAATTGATTCTCCTAAGCGCTCCCCAGTCTGGCCTTATTTCCAGTGACAGCTGTCCCCTGAAGTGCTGACATCTCAGCACCTACAAAAACCTGCNAGCTGGGAATGTTCCCCTGGAGAAGGGAAGGATCCAGGGAGAGCTGGGAATGTTCCCCTGGAGAAGGGAAGGATCCAGGGAGAGCTCCGAGCCCCTTGCAGGGCCTGAAGGGGCTCCAGGAGGGCTGGAGAGGGACTGGGGACAAGGGATGGAGGGACAGGAGCCAGGGAATGGCTCCCAGTGCCAGAGGGCAGGGATGGATGGGATATTGGGAATTGGGAATTCCTGTCTGGGAGGGTGGGGAGGGGCTGGGCTGGAATTCCCAGAGCAGCTGTGGCTGCCCCTGGATCCCTGGAAGTGCCCAAGGCCAGGCTGGACACTGGGGCTTGGAGCAGCCTGGGACAGTGGGAGGTGTCCCTGCTCCTGGCAGGGGATTTGGAACCAGAAGAGCTTTAAGCCCCTTCCCAACCAAACCCCTCTGGGATTCCCTGATTTCCTGGAGTGTTTTCCCTGCAGGAGGAGCGGGGGAAAGCACAAAGCCCACGCACGGTTTTCACGTCGTTGGTGCCGATGATTCCCCCGATCTCCCCCAGATCCTTCAGCAGCAGGTTCAGGATTTCTGTGGCTCTCTTCTTCTGGTGGTTGCTGAGCTCCTGCAACTGGCCCAGCTCCCTCTGGGTCGCTGTCAGGGCACTCTGGAAAGGTTTAAAAACAAGAATTACCCTCCCCTCTGCAGGCTGGGCAGTTTTCATGGGGTATTTTCCTCATGCCTCCTGGCAAAATGTAGTGACACATCCAGTTCCACCTTGGCATAATCCACTTTCACAACTCACTTGCCACCAAAGGCTACTTTAGATTATTAAATGTAGCAAATCCGCTAAGAATCTGATTTGCATAATACACCAAAGGAGGTTAATCACAGAGAAGTAGGTAGAGAGGGATAGAAAATTCAATTTTTTCCAATGGATTTCGTGGTAATCTGTTTTACTGGGGGAGATAACAAAGTCTTTAATGAAACATATCTGTTAACAACAGCTCCTTAAATTGGTGTAATGAATTAAGGAAAAAGGATGCTTTAAGCTACTAAACCAATCTTGATTTTCCCTAGATCCCATTTTTTTCCTTACGATCAGGACACATCAGCCGAAAAAGCCGATTAATTTTTTTTCCCTATTCCTTCCTTGAGATCCCCCGGCTCCCTGTAAAATCCCAGAAAACCACAAAACGCTGCCATTTGCATGAGGCAGACTTTCACAGCTTTCTTGGCAAAATACAGGTTTTAAATATCCAAAACACAGGATGGCCACTTGTCACATCCAGTTCCTTGCTGCAAGAGCCACAATCTGCCACCAACTTCCACAGAGCAGCTTCTGAATAACCCTCATTTCGTTGTTTAATTAATTCAGGAAAGAGAGGGTGGCACCAGCAGGTTTTTGGGAATGTTTAGGGAGCAAGGAGAGAGCCAACAGGATTGAACAAGTTGCTCTTACACTTTTCTGTGCCAGCTCATCCGCCAGCTGCTCGTTGGTCCTGGTTTTGTCCTCCACTTCCTGGGATTTCTGGTCATAGTTGACAGCCAGCTCTTCCAGGGCTTGGAGCACCTCCTTCACTTCATCCTTGGCTGCTTCATTCTCGATCTGCAGCCGGGTCAGCTCCTCCTGGATCTTCTCATAGTCCCTCCTCGTGGAGGCCAAAAGCTGGGAAGAAATATCACAGCAGCAGTAAGTGACCCAAAAACTCCTTCAAAAGGTTATGTTGGAAAGGAGGAAAAGAGGCAAAAAGGGGGGGGCACAAATCATGTGTGCAGGAGGGGTGAAATCCTGAAAACATCACCAGTTCCAGCACAAAGCACAAAAAAAAAAGGCTCAGAACTTCAACAACAAGAAAAATCTTCACCAAATCCTATTACAACCCAAGACTGAGGCAGAGAAACTGATTTTAAACAGTATCAAAGCTCCAAAGACATTTTCTGCCCTCAATCCAGCGCTGCAGCTCAGACCAAAAAAAATACCACAAAGTGAAATGTTTCACCAGAGGCTCAGGGCTTTGAACTGAGCTGAGGGAAAAGAGCTCTCTGAGGCAGCCTCAAAGACCTCGTGGCTTTACAGAAATATTTCGATAAGCAAACCTAAGACGATTATTCTCAGCTATCATCTGAAGGATGATGCTGAGGACAGATTAGCTGCTCCTGTTTGCTGAGGGAAAATATTAATCTCAGAAGAAAATACTGACTTCACACACACACACTCTCTAGAGAGTGTTTCCAAGCTGGAAAACTTATTAAATTGACTCTCAGCACGCTGCTGAGGTTCCAGTGATTGTGAGAGGTCCCTTGTCCTTGAACCAATGTTCAGGGAGATGGTAAAGCCTTGAAAATTCAGCTGTGGTGTCCTCAGCACAACCCCAGCCCCACCAGCAGCCCTGCACGGCAGGATGATGTGAAAATAAATAAAAATGACACCTAACATTTACTGCTAATACTGCGCTTTCAAGAATAATAACAAAATCAGGGCTTGACATGGCGTGAAAACATCAAATAGGGAATTACAACAGAGAAAATCTGTGTGGGAGATATGAGAGGGCCTCACGCTCATCCTGACAGCAAAGTCTGGACATCTATTCACAGAATTCACTCCTTCCCAAGAAACATGGATTATGGATTGGTATAATGTGGAATAAAACCTTCCCTGCTGAAGTGTTTTGGGTGGATTTCTCCCGATCTGCCCACCCAGCAGCTGAGTGAGACCCTCAGCAAAAAAAAAACCAACCCCACCCCTCTCAAGCAGACCACCCAAAAAGCAAAATATCCCAGAATAAATGGCTTTTTTTTTTTCTTTCTTTTTTGGCTCAGAGTGCTGGTGGAAAATAGGAAACCAGGCAGGCAGCTCTGGAGGCTGGCACGTGCCCAGAGAGGCACAGAGAGAATTCAGATGTAAAGGAAATTTATCTCCCTGGTAATGGCTGCAGCCTCAGAAGTGCTCTCACTTTATGGAAAAAGCCATTGGATTGCCAGAGCCAGATGGCATGTAAATATTTAAACAACAAAATAGCTTCAAATAATCTTCCTGCTAAACACAGATGGATCTATTATTTACGTTTACTTAAGAAATTTTCTGTGTGAAACGTCGCCGCGGCTTTGAGAAGCGGTGTGCATCACCTACAGCATAAACAAGGAGATTCGGGCTGATATTGTGTGGGGAAAATGGTGCAAGGTTTTCAAAAGACACCAAAAAAAAGGGTTATAAAGTTGAGCTGGAGAAAAAGGGAAAAGGCCCATGGCTGCAGCACTTCTTGGGTCTGTTCCACACAGGGATGGAATATTCAGAATCCCCCAAAACACTCACCTTAAGCAGCAGCCAGAGGTGAAAAGGTACAAACCCCCCCCTAAAATCAGCCTCATCTGCAGCAGGCCTCAGGTTTATAATTAACCTGCTGGTTTAATCAAGCAGAAATAAGGACTGGCTAATTAGGGGGGAGCAGAGTGAGGCAGCTGCTGGTGGATCAGTGAGCTCATCACATCTCCAGGGGAGAGCAGGGATGCCTGATGTGGGGAAAAACACCTTGAATAATAAAATATCACCTTCTCCCTCAAAGGTAAGAGTTGGACAAGAGCTGAGATGAGGCAGGAAAAGGCTCTGAGCAGCATCAGCTGCAGAGATTTTGCAATTGAGTGAAGCTGGATGAGGAATGTGCAAAAAAAAGGGAGGAAAACATCCACTGAAATCCAAATTCATCTTCCAGAAGTGATACTGGAACAGGGAAGGTGAGGAATAACTGCTCCCAAAAGGGAGGAATGCACATCACCCCAAAAACAAGGCATGGCTGGGAGGGGAGAATCAGCCTCAGGTGGGGAAAGGGATGTGGAGAAGATGGGAGAAGTGAGGTGACAAAAACTCATAACACACATCAGGAAATAACAGGCTGAGCAGGCATGAAGTGCATTACTATTCTTATTATTATTATTAATAATAATAATAATAATTATTATATAATATATAATACAACATAATTACACTATATAATATAGAATTAATATTTTAACAATCAGTAGTTATTATTATATATATTATATAATATATAATACAACATAATTACACTATATAATATAGAATTAATATTTTAACAATCAGTTATTATTATTATTATTATTATTATTATTATTATTATTATTATTATTATTATTATTATTATTTATTTTGGTGTAGCCACAGGCAGCACTGTGCAGTGCAGGGCAATCAAATCAAGCTGTGGCAAGAGAATGAGGAGCTTCACCTTGGAGAAAATAAATAAAATAAAATAAAATAAAATAAAATAAAATAATAAAGATTCCCAGGACAAGTTCCCAGAGGGGACAGTCACTCAGTCCCCTGGGTGATGAATAACAGACATGATCATAAATTGGTTTTTCCTCTAAGAACACCTTGGAAGCTCTTTCTGAGGGCCTGGATACACAATAAAAGCAATTCCTAGGAAATATCACGCCAATATTTGTGGATCTTGGTGTTTTATTGCCTCATTTTGCATCTTCACAACTCCTGATAGAAGGGAATGGCTTGACTGAGTTTAGTGATCATTTCTGCATCCTAAACCCCACAAAAAGTTCATTTTAGTGCCAGAAACGATGCAATCAAATGTTTGAAGTGATCAATCCGAGATTTTCCAGCAAATCTGCGGCAGCACCAATTATCAGGTTTTTTCTAATTGCCCAAATAATGATAATTAGTGATTTAATATCAGGAAATCTCTAATTCCCTATAGCCCATAGTGCCTGGATAGCTGAATGGGCACGGACACATCAGAAATCACATTTGGAGTGAAAAAATCCTGGCCCCACTCCTACCTTGGACCTCCAGCATCACTTCCCAGCAGGAGGGATTGTTATTTCAACGAGCTTTATCAAGGCTTAATGAGAATATTATGAAATTTCAAGTTTAAACCTGGCTGACACCTTTTCCACTTGAATTTTCGGCAGTTAATATGAGCAAGCTGTGACAGAATCATTAAACAAGGGGCTCAGGAGCAAAAATGTAAAAGGATTTTTTGAGGTTGGTTTATTTATTTTGGTTTCTTACCTCCTCTTGATCCAACATTTGCTGCTTTAATTTTTCAGCCAACTGGCTCTGCTGGTTGATTTCATCATCCTGCAATGAAACAGAGGTGGAGATTTTTAAATTTCTTTTCACACCTCTCATTTGATCACTTTTTATTTCCTCTTTCTAGGAAAGAAAGGGGGACAGCACAGCAAACTTTCTTCATGTTTGAGTGGCATGAGGGGAGAGAAAAAGAAATATACATAAATAAATATGTATATCATTTATAAATAAATATACCATAAATAAAAATACACAGAGCTCTGCAGTAAAAGCTGTGTGTAAATGGTGATATTTTGAGTTTGGGATCAAATATCTTGTCATTTCCTACAGTACTCTGCCAAATTATGCATCCCATGTTTTCTAGGGAAAAATTCAAACCTTCCAGATCCCTCCAAAATAATTTACTTGGCTTTTCTACGTTTGATGAGGAAACTGAAAGAATGACTGGGGTTTTTTTTCCCTTTTCCTGATCAATATGTAAAAGCTGGAGATTGCTACTGGGGATGCAGAGAAAAGCTCTCATTTCTTACAGAAAACTGCTCTTTTCAGCACCACCAACACTGCTGTGCAACCAGCCCAAAATTAAGATTTAAACACAATTCCTTTGTGTCCACACACAGCCAAACCTCAATATTAACAGGCAACACAGACACACTGGGCTTCTGCTAATTACAGCTGAATTTTAAAATTGAGTATTGATTCATGATGAGAGCTGTCCTTTTTTCCAGGCAGCTTTTTTTTGCTGCTCTCATCCTTGGTGGTGAATGGCTTTTTCTGGGCCTTTTCTTTTCCCCCCCATTTTTCATCTTGCCAAAGCTCTTAATGGCTGGAGAAGGGAATTGCTGAGAGCTTTAAGTGCCACTGACGTCCTTCAAGCTGTGCAAAGAAATAAAGAAATGAGACACCTGCACTTTGGGCTGTGTTTGCAGCTCCAACAACACAAACAAAAGGGGGTGGGGATCTATTTCCCTTAAAATTCTGATAGCTGGAATTGTTAAAGACAGGGTTTGGTTTTGGTTTTTTGTTCTTTTTCCTTTTTGGTTTGGTTTTTTGGGGTTTTTTTTGTTTGTTTTGTTTGCTTTTGGGTTTTTTTGGGGTTTTTTTTTCTTTATTTTTGGGGTTTTTTCCCCCCTGGTGACTCCAAGATGTCATTACATTTTGCTGAGGGATTTTACACAAATCACTGAAGAAAAGGGAAAGCCTGAACTTGAAATAAAGGCAAACTTGGCTGTGATTTCCTGCAGAGTGCTCCCAAACACAGGAAAAGGGGTGGGGAGCTGACAGGACCTGCTTTTGTGCAGTATTTGGAATTTTCCAACGTTTTCCAGCTCACAATGCTCAAGAAATAGAGAAAAAAATCCACCAATCTTGGCAATAATTTTCCATTTCCACCTGGAATCAAACATTCCCACCTTATCATCCAGCTGCCTGTAGAGACTGGCGATCTCCTCGTCGTATTTCTGCTTCTCCTCTGTGGAGATGCTGGCGACCACGGGGGTGATGTTATCAATAATTGGGGTGTTATCACAAGGCTCCAGGTTCTTCTGGTCCTTGGCACTGATCTGCTCCTCCTCGGGCACAGCTTCTCCTGCAGGGACACAGTTAAAATCCTACAATGCCGAAATTCCATGAACCTCAGGGATGGCCGTTCCCCGTCACTGAGGGATTTGGGGGAGCAAGGAAGGCCTTTGTGCCACTTCCAGGGATACAAATGACAAGGAAAAGGTGTGGGAAGGTGGCCACCCTCAGGAGGGTGATGATCCCATGGAAATGGAAACTCCAGGGACTCTGTGACGTTGGAGCTCTTTTCCAGACTTAACAATCCCATAAAAACCAGCAGCATATTCAAGACAAGAAACACAAAATTCCTGGCTCTCCTTTCACTGCCTTCATAGTCAGGATTAGCTCCATGGCTTAACAGAGGTGTAAAAAAACAGGGAAACCTCCCAAATTCCGGCCTAAAATCTGCTGGCATTTAATTATCTCCTCCTCCAGGGATTCCCAGCTCTGGGATGGACCAGGAGAGCACCAGCACAGCCGGGCCTACAACAATATTCAACTTCTGCCTTGCAAACTCCAGCGCCAACACCGACTTCCAGAGGCTGCCTGTGCACAGCAGACACATTTCCTACAAAATCCCTGTCCCCAAGGAATATTTCCTCCAGAGGTGAGGGCTGGGTGAGCTGCTCATGGCAGAAATTTTAAATCCACCCTCACCAGAGGCTGGGGAAAGCTCTGGGAGCCCCTGGATGCTGCAGGCCTTGCTCAGGGGGTGGGGAAGTTACAGGTTTTTTCCTTTTCCAGGAAAAACTCCAATATTTTAGCTCCTGAAAGCTTTACCAGCCATTCCTCTCACCAATTTATCTCACTGGCAGGGGAAGAGGTCAACAGGACCAATATATCAAACCCCAGAAAGGCTCAGTGAGGCCCCAAAGCAAAACAAAAAAAGGCAAGGAAAAGCAGATTTTTTTTTTTTTTTTTTTCCAGCTTAAAGCATGAAAAAGTGGAATTTGAAATCAAGCAGCATCACCTCTATCAAGGCACCTCCCCTCCAAATATTTTCTGCCCTATTTCTGAAGGCTTGGTGGTATTTTGTATCATTAATGAGGGAAATGTGAATTGATTTTTGGCTGCTGGATTCCACCGGAATGGAGAAGGAAAGGAGGGTTTGGTTAAAATGCAGGGCCTTGGACACAAAGAATATTCCTCAGGCTGTAGAGGATCCACCAGGAGCTTCCCAAAAGGAAAGTTTAATTTCTGATTCCTTGGATGAGAACCTGCTGCCTGTAAAACACAGAAAAACCTGGGAGCTGAAATCCTCAGTGAGAACTGAGCTCACCCTTCTCTTTTGTACAATAAATCCTTAATTCCTGCAATAAGCTGGAATATTATCCAAGATGTGATTGCTGTGACAGTTCCCTTTGTAAAAACCTCCATCCTTCCAGAGGATGGGATTGCAGAAGGTCAGGAAATAAATCAATAATCTTTGGAATGCAGAGCAGCAGCACCCAGGGAGGGGATGAGGATATTTAAACAAAAGGATCCATCCAGGCTTTTCTAAAAATAAAAAAAAAAATCAGCTTTGGGTTGGGATTTTTATTGCTGGTTTGGAGGTTGATTTTTAAAACGTGAAATAATTCAAACTAAGGCTGGTTTGCTAAAATCATTTGCCAGCGTTCCAGATTCAATTAGATTTTTAAAATTTGCTTTTCAATCAAAATTCTTTCATTTGTGTGTATCCATATTCTCCTGTCCCATCCTACAGCTGATGTTACAACCTACGCTGAACAGCCACTCCCCACATTTCTCATCAGAAAATTGGCTGTTCTCATCAAAAATTTTCATTTAGAAGACACAGGAGCAGACAAATGGTGATTCTTCCAACCAGATGCCACTCCCTGTCATTGTACTAAAGGGCTAATTATTCTAATGTGAAATTCAATTATAAAAAATCCCCAAACCAAGGTCCAATTACCTTAAAGCACAGTGATTCTCATGCCTGAGGAGCAGAGTTATTTCAAACAAACCATTATAATGGCTTTTTTTTTTTCTTTTTTTTAAAATTATTATCATTAACAATATTACAATTAGTGATGCCTCCTGTGTTCTCTACCCTGAAATCGCTAATTTTGGCATTTTCACTGGTTTCTCCTACAAATAGCTGCTGGTTTCCCTGCTTTGTGCTCCTTCACCTTCCATTATTATTATCAAGTGTGAGTTACAGTGTGAGTTCAGGTTTAGTGATCAGACACAATTAATCAGAATTACGATTTAGGGCAAGATTTCAACACAGACACACCCAGCTCCCAATTTTTGGCACCTACCATTCCTCCACCTGTTCAGCTCCAGCTCCAGGTGCTGGATAACGTTCTTTAAACTCTTGTTTTTGTCTTTCTCCTTCTCATACTTCTTCTTCCACTCCTCTGCCGTCAGCTCCAGGTTGACAGACACCGTGTTCTTGATGGTCTTGGCCCTGCACGACAAAACCCAGGGCAGCTGCTTCGGGATCCTCATCCCAGGGCAACAGGGGGGAGTGGGAATTCTTCCCTGACACAGGGGGAATGAACAGGGGAATGGTGGATTCCCCATCCCTGGGAGCGTGGAAGGAATTGAAATGTGGAAAGAAGGAAGGAGTTGTGAAGAGAAGGAATTGTGGAAGGAATTAATTGTGGAAAGAAAAGGAAAAGGAAAAGGAAAAGGAAAAGGAAAAGGAAAAGGAAAAGGAAAAGGAAAAGGAAAAGGAAAAGGAAAAGGAAAAGGAGAAATTTCCTGTCTTCCTAGGCAAAAATATCCCAAATTTCAACCCTCCTAACAACCACCACCAGTTTATTACTGTGAAAGTGCTCAGCTCCAACCCAACCCAAACAATTGTGCCAGGAAATGCAAAGCAAGCAGAAAACAATGCCCAGCACCTACTCCAGCAAATCCACGTTGAAAAGGGAGACCAAACCAATCACTGTGAATTAAAGAAGCCTCAGATCTTTGCCCTTCCCTGCTCAGACACTGAGTCCCTCCAAATGCCTCCAGAATAAAGCAGAGGATAAGGAAAAGAACAACAAATAAACCCCCCAGCAGTTTATAAAGCTCCAGTGATTTGCACTCTGTGGCAAGCAGGATTTTTATTACCTTAAGAGTATTTTTTAAATATGGCTGTGCTTTTAAAATAATTCCTAATGGTCAAGGTTTACACCTTGTCTCTGCTAAAAGCTCAAGTTTCCACTCATTTAACTGTACCAGGGAAATAAAAAAAACCCACCACATCAGGAAGTTTCTCCTGATGATGGATGAAGCCCTCACTGACAACTAAAATTAAAAATTATATAAAAACACAAGAAAAGATGGAGTGGAAAAAGAAAAAGCTGATTCACTACTATCAGAGGAGCACTTGTACTGTTTGATCAGTACAAGAGCTCCACTGAAGATGGATTTTATTCCTGACATTTATTTTAATGGTGACATAATTCCTCCTTTTCCCGGGAAAAATGGAGGAATCAGCAATCAGCCGTGAGTCATGGCCCTCCCTTTAATGCCATTGAGTCGTGTCACACCAGAAAAATGAGACACAACATCCCAAGAGCCTGGAAAAGAATCCCCAGGAGACAGTTCCCACCCAAAATCCTGCCAGAGAACTCTGTGCATGGATAATCCACGGGCTGCTCTGCACACACCTCCCAGGGAAACACAAATGATTTCCTTCCTGACAATTCAATGCTGACCATGAGGAACTCCTCACAAATATTCCCCTGTTTTCCCATCCTGGTCCTCAGTGAGGATCCAAATGTTCCTCCTCCCAGGAAACTGCTGAGTATTTAGCCAGGATGTGCAGAGTCAGTCAGAAAACTGCTTTGCCTCAAAAAAAAAGGCAAATTTCACCAATTACTGGAAAGAGGAATGAAAGCAGGCAGGATTTAAACAGAAATTGAACTTGGAAGCTGGAGTTCAGAGCTCTCTATTGAATTCCTGCATCTCAGGATGTTTGTTTTTGCTCAACACGTGGTGTGAGCAGTAGAAGTCTGGATCTTCAGTAGGTAAAAATCAAGTTCAGCCCACAAAGAGGGGAATAAAAACTACACAGCAACTCTTTAACCTGATTTTGGTTCATGGCCACTGCCTCTTTTTGCAGCCCAGAAACTCGGTGTGGTGGAAAACAGCCTGATTTTAAACCAAGACAAAGGTATTCCATCCTCAATTTGTTCAATTCTCTTTCAAACACTCCTAACTTGCCAGTGTTTTTCCTTTCTGCTACTACACAAATCAAACAAAATGAGTAATTTTCCAAAGGATCCGAGTTCTCCTCAATTACCACAAAAGCAGTAATTACATAATGAGCCTGACCTATTTCTGCAAATTTTCCTGATGCATTTCATATCGTTCTTATCAATAAACACAGATGGAAGAGAAATTTTCTTTCTGGATCCTTCCATACTTTTTTGTTCCTAAATTGTCAAGATCCTCCAAACATCAGGTCCATGAGCTACCATGGCGAGCTCTCAAAGCTGGCAGTATTACAGAGTCCACACTCTTTAATTTTCCTAATTTTTAAAGATATTTTTTACAACCATAACAATGATCCCTGAGGTGGAATTCAAGAAGACACCTCCTAAAAGCATCAACAGATAAAGCAAAACTGAATTTTTCCACAGAAAACTGCCCAGGGCCTTTATCTTTCCCATAAAACTTCAAGGAATTAAGACAACACTTTGTACTTCTGCAGGAAAATCAACCAGGAAGGAATTCAAAAATTCCTTCTAAACATCCTTCCATGGATTTCCCAATCCTTCCCCACTTTCCAGCCCCGCTCTGCTCCCAAGCAATCTTTCAAATTAACACTGATTTTCCTGTTCCCACTGGGAATAAAGAGCCAGCTCTCTGAATTTCTCCAGTTTTTTAACAACTCCACGAGGATTCTCAAGGCCTGGGGATGCATCCAGGCTGATCCCAGCAGGACTCACCTCTGGCCAAACATCAGGGTGGACTTGGTCTCTGCCTCGTTGAAGACGGAGGGGGAGCAGCAGATGACGATGGTGGTCCTGCAGTTCCCACCCAGGGAATCCTGCAGGATCCGCGTCATTTTGCTGTCTCGGTAGGGAACGTGGGTTTTCTGATCCAAACACGAGGAAAAGACAAAGAACAATTCTTTTTAACCGGTGTAGGAAGGGAGAACGTTGAGTCCACGATGACAGGAGTCAGTGACATCACTGAGAATTAATTCCTTATCTCAGGCACAACAAAGTCTTGCTGCTCTGTGGCTGCTCAGCCAATCTTTTCCCCCTTCAGAACTGAAATGTTAGCTCCTTTTTCCCTTTTCTATTTTCCCCTGTGGATGGCAAAGAAACAGATAAATAAAAACCCCCCATCACCCCCACGGCCAGGATTACTTACAGTTCCCTCTGCCAAGGCCGAGATCACATTGCCCAGAGCAGACAAAGACTTATTGATATTTTTAGCTTCATCCAGGACAGCCCCCTCTGCTCCAGTTTTGCTGACCTGCCAAAGAGAACAGGAAAGAGTCAACACAAAGCTCCAGGCCTGCAGAGCTGTGCCTAAAGATGCTCCTGGAGGAGCAAAACCCAGCTCAGCTCAGCGTGGGCCAGGAAAACTCCACATCAACTTTTTATATCAAATCTTTATATCAACTTTTATAACTTTTTTTTTCGTTAGTGCAAGCCTGGAATAATTCTAATTTTCTCCCACATCTGTCCCTAATTTTATTCAGGGAGAAGTCTGTGCTCACCTGAGGATATTTGGGAATCACTTCCAAGGCCGAGCTGGGACAGGGAGCACCACAGGGAGACTCTCAGCAGCCCCAAAATGAACATCTGGCCTTTGTATTTTGCTTTCATGGACCAAAAAAATATCAAAAACCATAGACTTTGCTCATGGCCACTGCCTCCTTTTGCAGGCCAGAAACGACACGTGGTGGAAAATAACCCATTTCACACCAAGACAAATATATTGTGTTCTACAACTGCTAAATTCTGTTTTACACACTCCTAACTTGCTGGTATTTTTCCTTTCTGCTGCTACACAAATAAAACAAAATTTGCATTTTCTAAAGTATCCAAACACAGGGTAAATCCATGTATTTTTATCTATATTAAAACTATCTGTACTTTCACCTCAAAATGCCCCATGCTGTGAAGAAAAAGCAGTTGTGTCTTTTAAGAAGGCAACCAAGAAATCCACATTTGGGGTTTTTCTGTACCTTGTCCAGACATAACAAACCACAAAAGTTGATTTTTTAGAGGAGAGGAGAGCCTGTCCAGCCCTCCATTTTATAAACACCATAAAGAGCTTGTAATTTAGCATCTCTACACAATCATAGACATTAACGTGGTTAATTACTCTGACAAATCACTCCTGCATGGTTTATCATGGGTTATCAATTAATGTGCCCCCAATGAGCAACCCAAAATCCCAATAAAACTGATTTTGATTGCTCCAGAAGGGATCAGAATGAGAACTGGGAAACATTTTTGCGTTGCAGCACTGTTCTAAACCATTACTCTTCTGGCAAATAGATAAAAGTCATTTTCTGGGGTTTATTTTTCTCCACTGGAAAGCAGAAATGGTCCCTAAATCAAGATTTAGGGAGCTTTGAGTAGACTTGAGAGCTGCATTAACTGCTGGTATTTCATTTATTTAAGATGTGAAATAATTACAATAATATTATAGTAAATAATATATAATCTAATATATAATCTAATAATGCAATATATAAGAATATAATCTATAAGAATATAATCTATAATATAATAATACATAATCTATAATCTATAATCTAGAATATAAATATATATTATAAAAATATAATATAATTAGTATAATATAGTATAATATAATATGATATAATATATGATATATTATATAAGATATATAATATAATATAATAAGTATAATATAATATAACATAACATAATATAATATAATATAATATGACATGACAATATAAGCAAGTTAAAATACATCTAATTATAAAAAGTATAAAGAATATTAAAAATCATTATAAAAATATAAAATTATTAAAAATTATATATTCTATAAAATATTAATTATATCAAAATCACATTCCTTTTCTCAGCTACACAGATGTAAATGTATAAAAAATATATATATATTAAAATATATAAAAATACATTGGTTCAACTCCTCCATTATAAATACAGATTTTGGGGAGGGGTTGCCTTTCATGCCAATAATTCTGATTTGCTCCTTTTCTCCATCCCACATTAAAAAAAAACCTAATTAAAATATCCTTATTCATGATAATCTGAGGTGAGAGCTCTGTGAAAGCTCTGTGAGACGCCCTCACATCCTCAGAGGTGCAGGAAAAAGGAGAATTTACCTTCTCACTGCCAGCCAAATCCACCAGGTAAAGTTTCCCACTGAGTTTCTTCTCCGTTTCCACGTTCTCCTGTTTGATGTTGATGAGGAAGATGCTGTGGCTCCTCGAGCTGTGCTCATTCATATCTGAAATCACAAGGGTTTTTTGTTAAAATGCCTTTCAAACCCACGGAATTCCCAAATCCCAGAGAAGCTGGGCAGGTCTCGGTGTAACTCTGAAGTTTTCAATCCAAACACACAATTAAATTAAAATTCTGAGTGGTTTTTATTGCTTGGGCAGGTAAAAATCCCCCTTTGCCCAGGTCACAGGTGAGACACAGGTTCAGCCTGCACTGATTTGAGGTTTGATTGTAACCATGTCATGCTGGAATTTCATAAAACAGCAAAAAGAAAATACTAAAAAAATCACTTTCACATCTGTTTTCTCCATTTTCTGTTACCATAAACCCACCACGACCTTTCCCCCCTTCCATCAATACTCAGGTTTATCTGATTTCCCTTTATCTCCAAATTCAGGGGGTTTTTTTCCCAGTTCTCTCTTTGCCATTTCAGCCCAGTAAAATACATTTATCAAAAGTTCTCTGTGAGCACCAAAAGCAACAGGCAAAAGGTGAATTTGGGTATTTTTGTTAGAGAAAATAGCAGGAACAGCAGGAGGAAATGTTACTCAGAATAAATTTCTACCAGTATGATGGCAAAAAAGCAATATAATATCTACCAAAGCAAGTAGGCAAAGTCAGAGAACAGAAAGGAGTTACCCAGGGCATCAAAAGAAATCAAATTAAAATTAAAAATAAAAACACAAATATACACAAAATACCAACCCACAATCAAGAATATTATTCTATTCCATTCTATTCTTATTAGATATAGTATATTATTAATATTAATTAATATTATTTAGTTAGCATATCCTTCATATCACAATAACAATAATTATAATGATATAATAATTATTATAGTAATAATTACAACTTTATCCTATATTATATAATATTAATAGAATATTAATATTATATGTTATATTATTACTATAGTATTCTATACCATTATGTATATTATATTATATTATATTATATTATATTATATTATATTATATTATATTTAGAATAATAATTTTATAATAAATAGGAAATTATTCATATTATAATAATATATAATATATTATTTTATTTATGTATAAAATTATAGTTTATATGTAATGTAATATATATTATATGATATAAAATGATATAAAATGATATGATATAAAATGATATAAAATGATATGACATGATATATAATATATGATGAATATATTAATATAATATAATATAGTATAATATAATATAATATAATATAATATAATATAATATAATATAATATAATATAATATAACTTTATTTTATTTTATAAACTGAGGTTCTGCCAAATACACTGCTTGCACCAGGGACATCTTCCAGTATAAATTTGGGAAGAGGTCCTTTAATCCCCACTCATGCAACACAAAATCAACAAGTCTGGATTATTTTGGGGTTTAATTCCTGAAGATTCATTTGTTTTGCCATCACTGGAACCCAATCCAAGGCTGGGATAAACGTGCAGAGGTTGGAAAGAGCCCTGCTGCTGTTGGACCAGGGAATTACAGCCCAAAGGAAAATGTAACTCCATCATTTCAGCTCTTTATCATCCCAAAACATCTCCACCCTGAGCCCCCATCCCTGCTGTGATGTTTAATTTAATAAATTAAATTAATTTAAATGAATAAATGCCATTTAATGCCAGCCAGAATTCCCAGTTGGGAGCTGAAGGTCGGCGGAGCCTCTGCACAAGAGCACGGCCCATGAACTGAAATTGCAGCAATTCCAGCGTGAAATCACCCCCAGAGTGACTCCAGGTCCTTGAGGGACAGGAGGGAGCAATAAATCCCTTGGGAATTCCAGAGAATTCCAGGGACACTCACTTGTCACGGCCACGTGCCGGTTGGCCTTCCCCTCGTCGATGACATCCAGAACTTCCTCAGGACTGGACACAAACCTTTCTGTACAGCCCTGGGGACAGGCAAGGGGGAATCAGGAATTCAGCACAAGGAACACAATCCTCAGGAGAACCAGGATCCCATGGGAACCTCGGAGAGGCAATGGACCCAAACTCGCCCCAGGGTGACTTCCAGGGGAAATTTGGGAGCCAATTTTTTTCCACAGGATTTTCCACAGTGAAATCTGGACACACAGCATGAAATTTTCCACAGAAAACATGGAATGATACAATATATCTTCTTAGTTTGGGTTGGATTTCATACCCAATTTTCTCCCTCAAATTACAAGCTAAAGTGCAAAGTCCTTCTCTCCTAACACAATATTACTGAATAAATTATTTTATCAATTTCTTTTTGCTCCTCGAGCTGAGAATAAACAGAAAAATATTATATATACATTATTTAGGCTCACATATGTTCGTATCAAGCATATTGCATTCAAGTGAGGGCCCAGAAAGTCATAAAACAAATTCCTAACCCAACCAATCTGTTCTGAACTATTGAAGATTACAGCATCCACGCTGCAAAATATTAAAGAACAAAATTCCTCAAGTTGTTCCCTTTCATATCTGACATGAAAGGGGAATATGAATACTTAAAATTTAACAGCATCCTAACAAAATGGCAATGTTCAAAGTCAGGAGAATAAAACAAACACGATTCAAACCCATTAATATTTCAGGGAACTTGTTTAAACCCAGGAACCAACACAACTTGAACATTTCAAGGCTTCAAACAGGAGTTGAATTATTTCAGCAAACACAGTGGATGCAAATGGAAATTTGTAAAGAAATGCATTTGTGGGAAAGAATGAAAAGCTGAAGATGAAATTATTCTTTTACCTTAACATAGGGGACTCTGTTTTTATCTTCATGTACAGCGAGGTTTGTCTTTGACACTGGAGAAAGACGTGGAGATCATCAGGAATAATGCAGAGGTAATAAATAAAGTGTCAGCTCCAGGCATGACAGACACATTTTGGGGATGGGAATTTGTAAATGAGATCAGCATCCCCCACTCCTTAGGAACCTCCAGCATTCCTGACACACAGAAATTGCTTCCTGCTCTGTCAATCTTGGACCTGTTCATTGAAATTTAACTTTGGGGCACAAAAGCTTTTGTTTATTGCTTGGGTGAATTAAATAAACCCAGACTAAGCTGGGTTTTGGCAAAGCAGAAGAGACAGGAGAGCAGCCTGGAATTCAGAGCAGATCAGAGCCACATTTGCAGACATTTCTACCTTTACAGACATTTCTACATTTACAGACATTTCTACCTTTGCAGACATTTCTACCTTTGCAGACATTTCTACCTTTGCAGCCATTTCTACATTTAAAGACATTTCTGCATTTGCAGATATTTCTACATTTAAAGACATTTCTACATTTAAAGACATTTCTACCTTTGCAGACATTTCTACATTTAAAGACATTTCTGCATTTGCAGACATTTCTACATTTAAAGACATTTCTACCTTTGCAGACATTTCTACCTTTGCAGCCATTTCTGTCCTCACACTAATTACCAAAATCCACTTTTATTAACGCGCGACACGCAGAGGCAGAGCCGTGAGCTGTGAAAGAAGCAGCTCCTCCCCACCAGACTGCCTGACAGATCATTCTAAAGCACCCCCTGCCTTTTGAAATAAAGTTTTCCTTGAAGAACACCCATTGCCAAGGAGGCCCAGCCCTGCCTGGCAGGCTGTGAAATTCACAGCAAAGCTCGTGCTCTGCAGGGGCAGCTGCACAGGAGACACATCAGATGATTGGAACTGCAACATTCTCGGGTTTAAATTTAATCCCCTCCCAAATAAAGTCACTTTTTCCCCCCAGGCTTTGGTTCCAAGCTTTGGATGAAGCCAAGGCAGCCACATAAGAAACACAGAACTTACCATCGAGCAGGTCCCTTATTTTGTCCAGATAGATCTCAAAGTAGGAAACCTAATGAAATAATCACAAACATCACAGATTTAAACCTTGCTGATTTCATATCTTGCTGTCTCTGTGTTTCCATCACTGTCAAAGCACCAAACTAAAAATAAAACCCTGCCTCCCACACAAGTTTGGATTCCATCTTTCACGGGAACACGTTTGTATCTTGAGTGATTTACAAGCCATTGATCTCCCTCCATTTATCAATGATTCATCAGGAAAGTACACAAAAAAAAACCTGCAGGAAAACCTTTTTTTTTATTTATTTTTTTTTTTTGGTAAATAGGCAAAATTGACAAAAAATATTGAACTGAATCAAACCAATGCAGCTCCTGCCATATCTGTGCATGGTCAGGTTTGAGGATTGTAAAAATTGGTTTTCACCTCCCCCCCCCACCAAAAACCAGAGACCACCTTTACCATTACAATTTTCACAAGCCTCAGCAATATATATTAAATTAAACTTTTAAATGAAGCTCATGTGATAGTTCTGCCTTGACTCAAATCCAAGGAAGAAAATGAAAATGAGATTTGCTGTAACAAAGAGAAACAATTGTCCTCAAAAAAACCACAAAAAACAAAAAAAAAAGGGAGGAGAATGATTGAATGAATGAGTTCCTTAATAAAAGGGGATTTGACTCACAGAGGAAACAGAAATATGTGTAGGGACTAGGCCTAACCCTTCCCTAATTAAGGTTTATCCAGATGTTTGTCCAGATTATTTAGCTGGAATAGCACATGTCAATAAACTCCTGGTTTAGTCCTGGTAAAGTCTCATTTTCTCTCATCTGAAAAATAATGTCAGGGCTTTTTATACAGATGAGTTGAACTTTCCAGGTAAAACTGCCATTAAATACAGATATATTTTGAATTTTTGCCTTCTCCATTTAAAGCTCTTCTCTGGACCAGCTGATTCCAACAGCCCAGTTAGGCCAGACTTAATATTTTACATCGAAAACCAACACTCCTACAGAGCAGAGACCAAATTCTAAATGGATATCTAAACAGAGAGGGAGAGGGGAAAAAAAATGTTTTTATTATTAATTTCCAGTGCTGGTCCAGTCCTGAGTGTGCCAGTTTGGTTAAACCCTGCCAGAACATTTCTCTCCCTGACAGCTCCTTGTCCCTGCTGCCCAGGGAGCTTTCCTGGGAGAAATTCATCAGCTCTGCTGGGAAACCTCTGGAAAAATCCCAGGATTTATGGGGCAGGCCAGGAATTTCCTGCAGCTTGGGGTCCCCATCTGTCAGCACCAAAGGGCTTCTTGTGTGGAACTGCAGCAGCCACCAAAAGCTTTCCAGAGTAGGGAATCAGTGTGGAAATTCAGAGGGGTTTCTCCATATTTTACAGTCTAATGTCTCTGTATTTCATGGTGTATTTGTAATATTTCTTCTGTCTGTGCCTCCTTGTAACCAATACAGAGCTGAGCCCTTCCAGGAGCTGGTTCAGAGGTACAAGATGATTAAAATAAACACACAAATATTCCCCTGGGAGCACTCCAAGGGATTTAATGCAAACAGCACTAGAAAGTCACTTATCTCTAAAGGCACAAAAAGGACAGGCAGCTCTGCTCTCAGCAGGAGAAGGGACAGTGGCTTCACATCTACCTGTGCTCAGCTACTCAAATATTTAGGTCTGGTTTAGTTTTGGGGCAGGGATGACACAGAAAACTCCTTTTCCCTGCAATCCATGGTGATTTTACTGATGTCTGCTTGGAAAGAAGCTGCAGCCTGACCTCAGCTCTGCCAGAGGGAGCAGAGCCCCCCACAGCTGAGAGCTCCCCAGGACCCCGGATGGGCAGCGGGAATTAAAGGTCAGTCCCAAACATTTGGGAGCTCACATGGCTGGGATCAAGGGAAGGACATGGAAAAACATTGGACCACCATCAGAAGGAGCCCCATGAACCAGGAATTCAAAAATCACTTCTGAACATCCTTCCATGGATTGCTGGACCTTTCCCCACTTTCAATCCCTCATCCTGGAGATGGATGTCAGGATTTTCCCAAATGTCCTGTGGCTCCATGGGATTTATGGTCAGAACCAGCAGGCTCCAGTCTCTGGAGGAGCTGCAGAAAATCAATATTTGGCTGCCCAAAGCGTGGTTCCAGCAAACCTGAGCCGGACACACACTCCAGAAAAAAAATCCAAGTAGTTGCTTGAGGTGATTTCTAGGATTTCAGTAACAAATACTGGAATTTGCACTGTAAAAAAGGGATGGAGGGAGGGAAAAAAAGCAAACCCCAAACCCACATCCCAAGGCAGATTTCCCACGGGCTTCCTGCCACTTCCAAGCCTTTACATAACGTGTCACTCCACATTTACCTTTATGTGGAACTCCAGGTTCTCGTCCATGGAGTAGATGTGATCAAAGATGTCGTGTGCGATCCTGGGGATGATTCCCATCAGCTGAGGGTCATGCAGCTTCCCCTGCGGACACAAAACCCCAAAATTTCTTCCTCAGGGAGCAGACAGGAGGGAGATTTATCCAAATATTCCTCTTCCAGAAAGTCTGTGTTACAGCCCCGTGTCCTGGCGGAGCTTAACACCAACACTGTGAAGCATTTCCCATTTCCCATTTCACACAAAATCCCCCGTAACAGCTTTACCAAGAGGATTTACTATTTCTTCAACTCCAGACTACTTTTTTTTTTTTCCCCCCCCTTCCACAACACACTTTAGCAACTTTACAAGAGGATGTTGGGATTAAAGCTGAATATAGACTGGATTCCACTTGGAAACGACAGCTTTTTCCTTTATTCAAGGAGAAAAACAGCGGCTTCTCCACGGTCATTCCCTTTATCACCACTTGTAAATCTGAATATAAATTGGCTTTAGGAGATCTTTCCCAGGCCATGTGGAAGCACCAGCTCAAGCCCTGCAGATATTTTGATTTAATTACACCCAGAGCTGGTGGATTACTCAGGATTGTGCCATCTGTGAGGCCTGAGCCAGTGATTTTTCCCTCTCCTGCTTAATTAGACATCACTGATTGCATCCTCCAGGAATGCAGATTTTCCCAAGGCCCTGGGGCTCCTGTTGTCCTTTATCCTGCAGCTTGGGTGGTTTGCCTGTGGGAATTGTGGAGCAAAACCTGAAGCCAGCAAAGCTCGGTCTTAACTTCCACAGAGCCCAGCTTTGCTGGGCTGAGCTGCTCCAGGACACGGACAGGGGAGGAGCAGCCTCGTGCAAGGAGGAAATCCTTGAATTTCTGCTGGAATGTCTAAATATCTTCTAGCTGACCCCAAAAAAACAAACCCAAACCACAGGAAAACCCTTCTAGGTGGCCCAAAAGAGCCCAAAAGCACAGGAAAATCCTTCTAGGTAATCCAAAAGAGCCCAAAACCACAGGAAAACCCTTCTAGCTGACCCCAAAACATCCCAAAACTACAGGAAAATCCTTCTCTGTGACCCAAAAAAACCCCAAACCACAGGAAAACCCTTCTAGGTGACCCTAAAACAACCCCAAACCACAGGAAAACCCTTCTGGGTGATGCAAAAGAAACCTCAAACCACAAGAAAATCCTTTTGGGTGACCCCAAAACATCCCCAAACCACAGGAAAACCCTTCCAGGTGACCCAAAAGAACCCAAAATCACAGGAAAACCCTTCCAAGTGACCCCAAAACATCCCCAAATCACAGGAAAACCCTTCTAGGTAACACAAAACATTACCAAACCACAGGAAAACCCTTTCAGGTGACCCAAAAGAGCCCAAAACCACAGGAAAATCATTCTCTGTGACTCAAGTGCCCCAAACCACAGTAAAATCCCTCTAGATGACCCAAAAGAAACCTCAAATCACAGGAAATCCCTTCTGGGTGACCCCAAAACATCCCCAAGCCACAGGAAAACCTTTCTGGGTGACCCCAAGACATCCCCAAGCCACAGGGAAACTCTTCCAGGTGACCCAAAAGAGCCCAAAATCACAGGAAAACTCTTCCAGGTGACCCCAAAACATCCCCAAATCACAGGAAAACCCCTCTGGGTGACCCCAAAACATCCCCAAACCACAGGAAAACCCTTCTGGGTGACCCAAAACATCCCCAAAACACAGGAAAACCCTTCTGGGTGACCTCAAAACATCCCCAAACCACAGGAAAACCCTTCTGGGTGACCCAAAAAACCCCAAACCACAGGAAAACCCCTCTGGGTGACCCCAAAACATCCCCAAGCCGAACATTCCCAAATCCCTTTTCTCCACGTTTCTCCCAGCTCGGAGCTGCAGAGTTCTGCCTTTCCCAGGTCACTTTCCCAGGGAATTCCTCTCCTTCCCCCCAAACTGATTCCCCCTGTACCTCCATGGTGTGGGTTTTTCCTGATGAGGTTTGTCCATAAGCAAAGATTGTGCCGTTGTAACCTTCCAGGACATCTGCAAGAAGAAGGAAAACAATTAAAAATCCTTCAGGGCATCCCCACACTGAATTATCAGCGATTTTCAACTCTGCACGGGGTTGGAGCTGAAATAGGAAGGTTTGTGCAAGAAAAACTGGGGGGAAAAGTGAGATACTGAACTAATTTTAAGCCAAAAAAAAAAATAAATTCATAGTGAAATCTAAATTAGAGAATTGTAGGATTATTATAATTATTATTATTACTATTATTACTACTATTATTACCAATTTTATAATTTCTATTACTATTATTACTATTATTATTATGATTATTACTATTACTATCATTACAATTATTATTTCTATTACTATTATTACTATCATTATTACTATTATTATTGCTATTGCTATTATTACTAAGAATATTATTAGTATGATTATAACCATTATTATTTCTATTACTACAATTACTATCATTGTTACTATTATTACTGTTGCTATTATTACTATTACTATTATTACTATGATTATTACCATTATTATTTCTATTACCATTATTATTACTATGACTATTACTATCACAATTACTATGATTATTACTATTACTACTATGATTATTACATTATTATTTCTATTACTATGATTATTATCATTATTATTACCATTACTATTTATTATTATTACTATTACATTATTATTTCAATTAGTATCATTATTGCTATCATTATTACTATTATTATTACTATATTATTTCTATTATTGCTATTGCTATTATTATTATTGCTACTATTATTATTGCTACTACTATTATTATTATTATTATTATTATTATTATTATTATTATTATTATTATTATTATTATTATTATTATTATTATTTTCCTGGGGGAAATGTATCTCTGGACATCGCAAATCATCCAATACATCTGAGGAACAAGGGAAAGGAAAAAAAGCATTGAAAACCAGGAGGGACTTTGGAGAAAATGAAACAAATTCACAGATATTCCTTATTAGAAACTTCTCATTCCATTTTCCACCTCTGGATCATGGCCTCATTCATTTCCCAAAGCAAAGCAAGGGGAAAGTCAAATGAATTTGAAAATCAGCTGCTCCCAGGGCAGAATGAATAATCTGCCCTGTAAAATTGTATTTGGGATGTTTCCCATCCTCTGGATCTCAATTATAAAATTATATTCAATTAATAGATTAAATGAAGATTTCAGGCAGAGAATTGATTAATAAAAATAAAAAATTCCAGCAAAAAAAATTAAATTAATTAAATTATTTATATTATATTAATTATATTATAATATATTAATTATATTATATTATATTATATTATATTTTTATAATATTTATTTATAATATTAAATATAATATAATATTTATAAAATTCATACATTATATTCTATATAATATAGATATATATTATAGATTATATATATTATATACCTTACATATGAATATAATATAGATATATATTATATATAAATATAATATATATTTACATATTAAATTAAATTGAATTACATATTTTATTTCCTATTAATTAAATTCTATTATTTACACAAATACACAAATTATCTCCTTATTTGCATCTCCATGTAGGTGCTGCAGACAGAAAGGAAGATTAAATAAATACATCAGAAAAACAGAATTCAGACCAATTTCTGCTCTCCAACATCAAAATCATTTCCCCTCTGCCCCTTCCCCCATCACCTGGGCTACCCCAGCTTGATCAGAGTGAGCCAAACGATTTCCTGCAGAGCTGCTCCCAGGATTTGGAGCAGGAGCCCGAAAAAAGCAGAATAAAAACCAAGGGCCAGAGTTTGGAGGGCACAGGGACACCCCAAAGGGCCAGGGAACAAGGAGGGCTCTGCTCAAAACCCCTGGGATGCTGCAGCCCCATCCCAGATCCAGCCCCGAGCTCCAGGGGTGTTTGGGCAGGCTCCTGGGGGGATTTTTGGGGTTTTGAGGATGCTGTGGGTGCTGTCCAGCTCAGCACATTCACAATTTTATCAATCTCACCAAGGATGGATCATCCAGCACCAAGTGTGAGTTCAGTGCTCACATGGGGAGGATGGACCGTGATTGAAATGCACCCAAAAAAAATTGATTGTCGAGTGAAAACCCTGAAATTCCCAGAGCTGGTGGAGGTTTTGTTCCAAGGAGCAGGGTGTTTTCCACGAGGAACCTGTGTTCCCATTCCAGTTCTAGATGCAAACTCTCTGCATGCAAAGCAACTCCCACACCAGGCCCTTCCACACCCTCCTGCAATGATCCAATTTTCCAGATATTCCACGCTCCCCCTGGACTGACCTGCACCAAAAACACTCTTTTTGCCCCTTATATCCCCAAACCCACGTGTTTGTGTGGAATAACAAAGAGAGAATACAGAACAATGACCTCAATTCCTTCAGCTCTTTCCTTTGGGCCTTTTTTCTCACACAGCAAAATAAAAACCCATAAAAAAATGAAATATTTGGAATTACTTATGCTAAACTCTCCTTCAGACATCCAAATATTCATTATCCAGCGTTTAAACAGCTTGAGGGCACAGAAAACATCCTTTTCCCTGCCTTTAGGAGGGATAATAAACAAAGGGAACACCTACCTTTGACAATCTGCTTGGCACAGGCATTATAAACTTGCTCCTGGGTTGTGTTAGGAGGTAAAACCCTGTCAAAGACGTAGGGCTTCCCTTGCTGCAAACAGAGGAGAAACTCCATGAGAAAAAGAACATTTCATGCACTTTACCATGCTGGTTGAACAGCCTGAAATGCAGAATTTCCCACTGAGGAAATGCTCTCGTGCAGTGCATTCTGTGGGCTGAGCAGATGTGATATTTTGGCTGCTCCAAACCCAGTTTTTTTCTAAAAAATAAAATAAAATAAAATAAAATTGGCTGGCAAATAAAAGGTGGCATATGTTCCCTGTGTGCTCACATCGGGGTCACAGCCATGGATGTGGGACACAATCAGCCAGAACAGCAGCTGGGTATTTCCTTCCTACTCCTGGGAATTATGGGGGAATAGTCATTAAATACTGGGAGAAAAAACATGTAAATATTGGGGAATAATCCTGTAAATATTGGGGAATAATCCGGTAAATACTGGGGGGAAAACCATGTAAATATTGGGGAATAATCCTGTAAATATTGGGGAACAATCCTGTAAATACTGGGGGAATAACACTGTAAATATTGGGGGGAAATTCTGCAAACATTGGGGAATAATCCTGTAAATATTGGGGGAAAAATAAAGTAAATATTGGGGGAAAAATCCTGATCATGTAAATACTGGGGGAATAACACTGTAAATACTGGGGGGAAACCATGTAAATATTGGGGAATAATCCTGTAAATACTGGGGAAATCCATGTAAATACTGGGGGAATAACACTGTAAATATTGGGGGAAAAACCATGTGAATACTGGGGAATAATTCTGTAAATATTGGGGAACAATCCTGTAAATATTGGGGGGAAATCCTGTAAATATGGGGGGAATAATCCTGTAAATATTGGTGAAGAGTTAGGCAAATATTGGGGAAATATCCATATAAATATCAGAGGAATAACCCTGTAATATTGGGGAAATCAGCCTGTAAATATTGGGGGAATAACCCTGTAAATATCAAGGGAATCATCCTGTAAATATTGAGAGAATTATAAATACTGGGGGAACAGCCATGAAAATCTTGGGGCAATGACCCTGTAAATATTGAGAGAATTATAAATACT